ACATACCTTTGTTATTTGAGGAAAAAAAATAAAGGGGGGGCAGGGATTAAACATTATTTTGTGCATGTGTTATAGTACGTTTTGTGGATACTGGAGGTTATAATGCTAACTGCAGGGCTAAATATTTTAACAGAGTTATACTTTAAAAACTTTTCACCATAGAAGGAAAAGTTTAAATGGTGATGTAGATTTGCTTCCAGAATCTATATGCTTCTGGCGCACTTGCTACACAATTATGACTTGCTTCCCTGGAACTCAGAATACCACAAAAGGGATGTATTTGGTAGCCATGTTGGTCCGAGACAAAAAATAATGCAGAAATCTAGAACTCTGGGTTCAGAGGTGATACCTTTTATTAGGCCAACTGAGATAAAAGGTATCACCTCTGAACCCAGAGGTCTAGATTTTTGCAATACCACAGAACGAAACTTTTACTAAGACAAGGTCACAAGATGCATGAATTTTATAAGCTATAAAAGCACATTTACAATGATAAGCCTATATATTTTATACTGCTATATTAATTAGGCAGTATAAGTAGGTAGCTATGAAAACAATATATAAATCAAGAAACTTTTCCAGTTACAGTACTCCTAAAGATACTTCCATGCTGATACTGCAAATATTTACATGTTTATGGTGAACCTTGCATTATCAGTTTCACTCCTGGCCAAAACAGGTTGTATTCATAAGAGGTTGAAGCAATTCAAGAAATGTCTATGTTGTTAGGTGAATCAGATGATTCTTAGAGGATTAAACTAAAAGGAACAGAATAAACAGGTCACCAATTCTAGTTTACCCCAAATTATTAGTTAGGATTTCTCTATGCTAGGAGGTTGACTACAATAGATATTACAGAATGGTTCCCGATACGAACACACTATTCCAGAATAATTTCTCCATTTTGGATTAAGTAATTATCCCAAAAACAAGTGACTTTTATTCTGCTACAGAGTCCACTATTCAGTAATAGGTATTGCTGAGTAACTCATTTTGCAATAGTTATTCCGATCAGTTTCTCTGTATGGATACTTATTTGCCCAAGACCTCTAGCCAGGGACCAGGAGACCTACGGAACTAGATGTGGGACACCCATCCAAACTAGGAGATAACCACTGAGACGAGAAAGGGAGAGGTGCAAGAAGATGATACTGGCATACATAGGGGTACACAAGCTCTTACAAAATATTTTACCATCTGCCAAGTTGCATCTGAGTCTGTGATCTTATTCTACTAGACATTTAGCCAGAGGGGCCAAATGCTGAATATAAAGGAAATTGGCATTACCTGTGGAAGGTTCTCTGCAGAAGCTAAGTGTAGAGACAACACTGGCTAGTAAGGAAAACCTGTACTGCCAACTGTCCATCATGTTCTTTACTCTTTTCTATAAAAGACTTTGTTTTCCAACATGATCACAACCTAGCACCTTTGCAGCTACTAAATTCGCTCAAATCAAAATCTGTTGCCTCTTTAAAAACTAACAAAGTACCAAAAATTATCTTTGCACTTTATTCTAGTGAGCTGTCAGAGTCAGCATATCACAGAACTACCTCAGCATCTTGAAGAGAGTAACTTTTAACACTTTAACCTTGCAGCTGGCCAGTGTCTAAAACAATTCCGAAATACAGGAACCTTGCTTGATAACTTCAGTTTGACAGTAAAAACCACTCTCTGTTCACATTTCTATACTCTACTTCTCTGCCAATCCAGTCTTCCAATGCAGACTATCATAACTAAATCAGTTACAGATTTGAGAGATGCAGAACAACTTTCTTTTGGTATGCTATTTCAAGTAATTCTTGGCACAATGAATTCAGCACGCTGACAAGATTTTTTATACTGTGACCTGCAATTAAAATTAATACCACTTCCAATTATTTTGCGTCTGCTTTAACACTTATTGAAATTAACAGAACCTTCATATAGTCTAAGAACTTCACTTAGTCCCTGAAAACTGGGGAAAACAGGACTAGAATGTTTACATTCAGAACCGTACCATAGTATCATAGTGCTTAGGGTCGGAAGGGACCTAAACAGATCATCAGGTCTGACCCCCTGCAGGAACGGGTGTGGGGGTCATATCGCCCCAGCCAAATATCTGTCCAGCCTCCTCTTGGAGATGCCCAAGGTAAAAGAGAGTACCACCTCACTTGGGAGCCCATTCCAGAGCCTGGCAGCCCTAACTGTAAAGTAATGTCTCCTGATGTCCAGTCTGAACCTTATAGATTCATAGATGTTAGGGTCGGAAGGGACCTCAATAGATCATTGAGTCCGACCCCCTGCATAGGCAGGAAAGAG